AAAAAAAAATGGGAAGGCTATGTCAGGACTGTTCATAGATTGTTTCACTGTAAGTGTCTACAGCTGTGCATACACACACTCCATTTAGAGTCTAGGTACACATAGGTACTCCACAAAAAGAACGGAAAAAACTTAAAGCACTTGCAACAGATGTTCTTAAAAAGAAACAAACAAAGAAACAGAGCAACACAGCTGCAACAAAATCCTGTTTTTTTTTTGGCAGCATTGCCATTTTACCTTCTCACACCCAAAAGCTAATTTTATCTATTACAGAGCAGACAAATTCAATTTTATGCTCCTACACTGAAACTATTATTTTTCATGCATTTAAACTTCTTTCATCTAAATTGTTGATTTTAAGATAGCAAAATGATGTTATTGTTAACTGGTAACTACGTATTAATTCAATTATCCTTCTAAACATCATTTACTCCTTGTTCCCTTTTTATTTGCTTCAAACACCATCCAACAGAGAATATTCTCGCACAGAGTAATGGGGAGTATGCCCCCATACCCTCCCCTCCTCTCTCTCCAGGAAGGTGATGCCTACTGCATTACAATTGAAGGCTATGTGGTTGAAATTTCACTCTGTTCCCTATAACCCTCTAACTCCCAATTCTCCTTACAGTCTGCCAAATGATTCTCATTATGTTCGTTTGGATAATTCGGTACCAGATCAATTAGTAATCTCATCCTTGATATTTTTCTTTATTCACATCACTTGTCTCCATGATGTTGTATAGATATAGTGAGGAGAAATTCTGTCTTAGTCATTAACGAGAGTTAAAGGATTAAATCAACTTCAAAGCTCTGTAACTGATGACTACACTGTTGTTTGTAAATTAACCCTGCAATGTTAAATTGGAAATTTGGAAATAGCCTTCTCCCTTTTCACTACATTATATCAAATCAGTGTGGAGAATATGAGAACTGATCATCGCTGACAGTTGAGTACAAGGAAGTCTACTGGACATGGCTGGTAAATTTACATGGAACATATTATCTTCACTACATATTGGAATACCCCATTCGCTCAACACAGATTTATCTGCATTTACTTTTTCACCGATCGTTTTGAGTACATCTGAGTAGCAAGAGGCAGCCATAGAGGAGACATGAATAGAGAGGCGCAAGATGTAAACGACGTCTTTCGCAGTTGCGAGCCCATATCTACCCAGTTTCAGCGTAAGAGGAAAGGTAACTGACAGAAAATAACAATCTACTAACTCCGAGCTGCCGTTAAGTGGGCTTTTTCATACATGCGCGATCACTGATCGAAGCTGAGCGGATACAATTATTCTGCAATCTGTTTGACATTTCTCTTTTTGTTTTCGAGATCACAAGTAAACGAATTCAATCCCTTCTAGTGCCTATTTTACAATAAGTCGAAATGAAACCGTCCTCACCAAAAAGCTCACACCTTTTTGATGGAACAAATTGGCATAAATAATCGATTGAAGAATTGCACTGTCAGTTATCAGCGGTGGGATCGGATCATGGATCATTGTAACCTGCACCCACACGTACACAAACTAAAATGAAAAGTTTGCCATCGCCAAAGAAAGTGAAATAACTCAAATGCACATTACCTTGTCCAAAAGAGACGCTATATGGTAAGGTGAAGTCGACATGATGATACCTCCACAAATGACAGTTTTCCGCAGCTACAAAGATGAACTTAGAGGAATTTTTCTGATCTCTTTCCTCTCGATCACACTCATCACGCCTGCTTACTTGAAAAACCGCTGGTCGTTCGCCGACTCATTGTCTCAGAAATACTCAAAGAACCTGGGTCTGAGGACGGCTAACACTGATCAATGCCACGGAATTGAACTTTGGAAAATAACAGTTTTATTTAATACAGCCGCGCGTTATCGGGCTAAAAGTATTCCGTAACCGCGTCTGACTAGACTGTTGTTGTGACAAATTTATTTGACGGTTGTTACTTGAATTGCGCCCTAAATCACAGGAATTGTTGATAAGCCAATAATCGGACAAAAGACTTTTTCTTTTGTTATTTAAACAGTTGTTTATGGTCAAATTTAAGTGTTTGTTTAAAATATTATTCTGTGTTTGTAACTGTCGGAGTACGCGGAATAAATTAAAGTTTCTGAGTTGTACTACGTCGTAAAAATCAAGACATCTCTTGCCTGAGGGCGAGATGATCGAAGAGGTGACCGGGAAGTTTTGTAGAGCATTCAGTGATGTTGCGGCAGTGGGAAGGCTACTAAAGCAAAATCCTTTTCAATCACATAGGATCTAAGACAGATGGGTAAAACCGTTTCTGTTATTGTCTACATTAAGGTTTCAGTATTGTCTCTTGCGTTTGCTTGTTTATGTTGCGTGTGCGTTTCTTTTGTTGTTGTTGTTGTTTCTATTGTTGCTGTTCACTGTTTTTGTTTGTTTTGTTTGGTTTTTTTTAAATTGTGTCTGGCCTTTTGGTTTTGTTTGGCTTTGCTGTTGTTCTAGTCAATTTGTTTCATCTAAGAAGCGCAAAGTATACTGAGGGTCTGCACACCCTGAAGGACCTGAAGTCAGGAAAGGAGCTTCGTAGGCCTTGAGGTGGATGGTGGAGCATGCGCACCAACCAGCAAATGTGAATACATTTTCTTACTATTTTTCAGTGGTTTTCTCAGAGAAATTTTCTGCTGCAGGCGCTGGGGAAAAAATTCTGAACCTCTGCTTGCTCTTTTCGCCTGAAAAAACTGATTGGGCCGATCAAGCGTTTGAACATGCACCCTTACAGTCGGTTGTTACCAAAGTACTTAAGGTGTCGGTAACTGTTCTAGTCAACATGGAAATATAATTTAGGGACGTTCAATCTCCAAAAGCCCTAGTTTAGGCAGCGTGAAGTAATTTTGAACATAGCTTCTCCTCCAACCTCGTCTTAACAGGTTTCTTAGGCAGGTTTTTTTGAAGATGGCGGTACGAAGAAAGCGTCCAGATTCGATCGACCGATATTTTTAAAAACCGAGAAAACCCTGGGGACGAGGTTGGCTTCTCCACTGAAGGGGAATATACCTGTTTGCTGGTACCCGATACCAAGCTTGCTTGAACAGAGACGCTGTAAGAGAAACACATTTCGCCAGAAGCCACTTTATAACGAATCGAACCGACCGGGCTTAAGTTTGGACCAAGAGTTCCTTACTAGGATTATAATTTACATAATCGAGAGTCCGGGGTGGTATCAATTGACGCTCCGAGTCTCCTTCTTAAAAAATACAGACTGACATTATCCCAGAACACGCCATGCGCGTTGAACCTGTTCCAATTTACGGACAAACGACACAAAGTACAAAGAAACTTCAGCGTTTATTTCTTAACAATAAAAGCCACGTATGTATGATCCTTTAACGCAAATTTAGATTGAATATTTTCAAAACAAAAGCAAAGTAATAAAATCTACCAATCAGAGCAAAGAAAGTATCAAATGGATTAAAATAAGAACTCAAAGTAAAAACAAGCAAACTGCCTACTGCGCGGGAAAACGCGAGTGACATGGTGCAATTTTCTTTACATTTGCATCTGATTGGTCGAAAGGGTGACACGTGTTTTTAAGACCAGTCAAAGGCCGCTGTGAAGCAAAACCCGAGACGCTATCATTTAGACAGTCAATTAAAAACGCTTTGCGAAACCTGAGGAGAATTTTTACTGCTATGACAATACGCAGGAGTCAGTTAAGATTATTTTTTTTAGTATATTGAATTGTGTTCTTTCTCCTATTTTCTTTTAAAACTAAAAATTGACCTTAGGAAAACCCAAGTTAAATAATTTACAATTTATACAGTTACAATAAGTAACAATCTTATATAACGAATTTATATCACTTCGTAAATAAATGAATTAGAAACCACGTGTGCCCACGTTGCTCGAGTGGTACTTGTGAA